CCCCAAAACCCCAAAACCCCAAAACCCCATGATTTAGTATCATAGATTCTAGTAAGATTTAATAGTTTAGTATATCATAAAGAATAAATAATGCCAGGAAATATTCCTCTATTGACTCTTGTACTGTTAGTGCAGTACTAAGAGTCATAAATACTAAACAAATCCATATCCTCGTTTACATCAATCTAATTATAGTTAGAACCTGACTCGGAATAATAGCATCTTTCAAGCGTTACCCACATCTGTATATTAAATTTATGGTCTTTTCTGACCAATATACCGTTAGCAAGGCTGAAGCTTTGAAACTTGTACCAGATAATATGATCACTGTTATTTAAATCTTCATCTTATAACTAACTTAAAACTACACTTTCCTCAATTAAATCACTAGTCATCACATTATTCCCATCTTGGTCTTCAATATGATACTTATAGCAAATCTAAAAATCTTGTCCCTCTGGAATGCCCATGTATATACCTATCCCGTGGACTTAAATACTCTATTTAGGCTGAAAAACGATGCCATCCCACCTATCCTTGCCTACATACCAGGAATCACCCACTCTAATTTCAGAAAATCGTTTAAATCTTCTAATATCACTCCCGATAGTATGAGATTTCTAATGATATGAGCCTAGCACTAGTATTTGAGCCTTGTCCTAGATATTTTGATCTTAAAATGTTTTCTCTTCCACTATCCTTTTGTTTTTGTAAAGTAAAATTGCTTATATTTGATAGAGCTTTTCAATGCATCTTATCAAATCTAGTGTTTTCTTAAGTATATCAACTCTATATTCTGATTTATATATCTCATCGTCTACATGTATCACTAAATCAAGTTATATATGCTGTCTTAAGTCATTTTATAACAGAGTGACTATTTGCTACTCATTTGTCTTTTCCTTTTTGTCCATATTGTTTTGCAATACAATGCATTCCCAAATCGGCTCATCAATAAAAGTAAGCATAGCATGGGACTGCTCTTTATTATCAAAATATTTGAATGTTCGAACATAACCATATTTTGAGCTGAAGTACATCTAGCCAGGTTTTACTTAAAATTCTGACTGCTTTTTATTGATTCTTATAATGTTCTATTTCTTAATAATCTATTGAATTGGTTATTACTCATCATTTTCATGGCACATAGCTACTAACGGTCGTTCAAACATATAAAAGTCGCCCTCTTCAACCTCTCTCCACAGCTATTCTTCTTGTTACTCTTTAGTTTTATCATTTAAGATTTATAGCTATGCTATGTTTGAAGTAGGCTCCGTCATTATTCACTTATTATCTTATTTAAAAAATGCTAGGCTTAATGGATTAATAAAATTATAGTCACTTACTAATTGAGTAAATTTAAATTTGAATAGTTCTATATTTAAATATTATCTACTATGCTCAAATTAACTGGCATTTCGGGGTTTTGGGGTTTTGGGG